AAAAAAACCAAGAACAAAAAAATGTTTTTTCTTGCTTCCTAATCAACAAGAAAGAACTCTGGTAGCATAGTCAGGTATGTGTTGGGCAGCTAAGCACAAGGTTAGCAGTTCAAACTCACTAGCCTCTCCTTAGGAAAAAGGTTTAAAGCCTTGGAAACTAAAAAAGGCAGTTCTCCTCTGTCCTATAAGGTCACTGTGAGTTATAACTGATTCAGTCACCAAGAGGCACCTCAGAAGAAAGGTCACATGACCTACTTCCAAAGAACTCAGAATTGAAAACCCAGTGCAACATAATTCTGCTCATACACAGAACTTGGAGTTGGAATCAACTCTACTGTATTAAAAAATATACACACACACACACACATATACACACAGAGGATCTTAGATTTGGATAGTACCTTAGAAATTTCTTCTAGGTAAGGAAACGGAGAATCTGAGATGAGAAAGAATTTGCTCAAAGTCACACAACTAGGTGCAGAGCAAAGGAATCATTTGAAAGGGTGGATCAGTGAAGGTACCTTTCAAAGATGCTGAAGGCATCTCTGAGCAGCTTTCTTGGATCACTTGAAGCCTGTAACTCAATGTTAGTAGCAACTGAGTAACTGTGCGATGCAAACGTTTACCATTAGATGTTACATTTTACATACATGGTGTCCATGAGTCAATCAAACACAAAACAATATAAAGCTATAAAAGCCACATTTAATCTGGTTTTAGATAAACTCTTTGAAGGAATTTAAAAGATTTGCTGAAAGTTAAATCTTCAGTTTCTCACCCTAAATATGCAGCCCTAGTAGTAAAATATTGAAGGCCTATCTTGATCAATGATTTTCTTCTTCTAGAATTGGAGGCATATGCTGGAGTTATCAGTGCACTTCGGGCACAGGGGGATCTCACCAAGGAAAAGAAAGATCTTCTTGGAGAACTATCAAAAGTGCTTAGGTAAATTATCATAAAAGTTTGTGAGCTGTGATTCTAGAAATTTCATTTTGAAGTGTCTCCTTGCTACTGTCAGTTTAAATTGAAGGACAAAAGATAATGGTCGATGTTTAGAGAGCCCGGTTCAGTTTTGTGATCTGACACAGAAAATAATGCAACTGACGATTGGTTCTGCAGTCCAGTCAGAAAGGCCGTTTGGTTTTAGGCCTGGGCCAAAAGTACGGGAGGCAGGCACTTTTGGACTGGTGAAAAAGAAGAACCGGCTACAGTGGAATATGAACATCTAGGATGGCACTTGGTGAGGGGGCGGGGAGAGTACTGGGTACAGGGAGATGCTACCTTAGCTTATATGAGTGGGGAGTGAGTCGATGATCATAACCTGAAGCATCCTGTTTACCTCGGCCTCCCACCAGAGTGGCATTTAAATCCATTACAAAATTCCAGTAAAAGGGGTTCCTTGACACCTTGTCTTGATCCAGTGTAATATCTTGAGCTTTCTCAGAAAATGTTCTGTTTTAACTGAATTTTCTTTTTACATTTAAAACCATTTTGTCCTATTTATAAGTGAAATATTCAAGAGATTCTTTCTGTATTTAACTAATTAACATTAATATAGGGATGCTTTTATGCCAAATCCTTAATCTTATTGTCTTCATATTTAGCAATTTATACTTTGTGTTGTTTATGTTTCTTCCTAAATTCTGCTTTCCAGCCTAAATATTTTGGTCTGTGGTACAGATTAGCGTAAGCAATTTGATGAGCCATTTTCATTTTATTGAGTAGTTTTGAATGGCATGGATGTAGCCTTTTCTCAGTAATTCAGTACTAACTGTACATTTGCTAAAAGATGATCAGTATAAGCATATTTTTACTTTATCAATAGCATAATATAATATAAAAGACACAACTGAAGTGTTGCATATTAAGTGTTAAGTTTCAAAGCATACAGTTTCAAAGAAAACAGACTATCTTGCCACTCATTATAATAAATTAGATTCATTCAACGTGAAATGCTAGAATCTTAAGCTTTGGAAAGGACCTTAGAAGACTCTTCTGAGGGGCCCAGGTCCTCGGCAGAGATGAGTAGGTGGTCAGCCAGCTTTGCTTTGAATGTTTCTGTAGATAATGGACAGAAAGCTCTGCTGATCTTGTCCGTGCTCTTGACAGCTTTGATTTAGAAATACTGTTGTGAAATCAAGCTAAATTTGTCTTCCTATGATTTCTAATTTGCAACTAATTCTCTCTGCAGTTACACAGAATCAGTATCAATTTTTTTCTATGGCTTTAAAGCAATTGGCCCTTATCAATATCTTTTCACAAATCAATTTTGATTCCTACCCTCCCCAAAGCAAAATGTTAATTTGAACATTAATAAAAGTATAGCAAAGAGCTGCCTGCCTGGCAGAGTTCTATAATGGCTATTTTTTTTCATAGCATCTCAACAGAACGCCACCGGGCTGAAGTTCGGAGAGCAGTAAACGATGAACGGTTAACAACAATTGCACATAAGTAAGCCATTAGTCATACCACCCCTGATTTTTTTATGACATAGTATAACATAGTTTTTAAAAATCTTCCTACTGTGTAGCAGGTTCCTGAGTGGGAAAGACCAGCACAGTTTAGCACATGATTCACTTATTGGTAGAAAAGTTTTAACAGCAAAGTAGTGTGCCACCCAAATTTGACAGCCCCTTAGAGGCTCTTCTTAATGGTATTGGTGTGAATGTTACTGTATGAATAGGCATTAGACATTTTTTGATATTTGACTAATCATTTCCTGTATGTTGAGATTCAGCAAACAGACAGTGAAATATGCATTTTGCTCTTAAGAAATATGAATGCATTATATTGTAACTTTAAAATGTCAACAAAATAAGAAAATAAAGGAGCCTTAGCAATTTATTTGCAGATTGTTTTTGCCTGTGGGGTGGAGGACTGATTCCTGGTATCAAGCAGTAATAGAGCTCGTCTGGAGACAGTGTCTCCCGGACCAGAAATGATCTTTTAAATGCTAATGCAAGATGATGGGAACAGTTCATAAAATTTATTACAGTATAATCAATTTGTTTTTTTTGTTATATGTTTTAGTGTAATATAAACCTAAAGAAAGAAAAAATAATAGCGCCTGTCCATAAACCAATTGGCAATGTTTGCATTGACTCCCAAAGATCCGTTAGCTTCACATTGTACTTCGCTGTCCCACATTTCACCTAACTTATAAAACGGGGTGCTACCTTTTAAACTGCCTAGTTGGAAGGGTTAGCTGTTTATCCTGCAGTTCCGTCATGTTCCAGTATAGTAGGTATGTACTGTTGAAATTGGGAAATTCTCCATTAGAGATGTTTAGTTGTCAGGTAAACATGGTTAGAAGATTATACTATTCATGTGTTCCTTCTGTAATTTGGTCTAAACTTCAAAATTGAGGTGCTCTAAAATTAATAACTGAGCTTAGCTTCTAAGTTGAGAACTGGTCTTAGGAAACATGTGCTCGACAATCCAGTAATTAACAGTGAGTGTGCTCATGGAGGCACTGGGAAAACAGAGTACCTTGGAAGAAGCATTGGAACAGTATTGTGGATTATAAGTTGATGCATCAGTTTCATACTTAAAGGATAACATTTATTTAGTCTCCTTTTCCTTTTTTCCCCCTTCCAAGAATGAATTTATCCTTATATTTGGGTGAAAGACCAAGTTACAGGTATGCAAATAGGTTATTATTATTTCAGGCTCTTTCTTGTATTTATTTCAAAATTGAAGCTCTCAATTATTCAGGGGCACATTATTCCATGTACGAATTAACCGTGCTCCTTGCTTTTCCTTCTCTCCCCCTCCTAATGCTGCCCACCCTTGAGCCATTTTGCTGCTTTGGGAGTACTTCTAGTCAGAGGGTGGGAAGGGAGAGGTGAAAATTTTAACTATTTTATTATATATGTGAGTTTTTTTTTATTATATGTGAGTTGTTCTTGAAATGGTTTGGTGGAAGAATTTACAAGTAGTAGCCAAAATTTTTTTAAATTATATTTGGGTTTCTTTAATCTGTTTGGCCTCTCCCTTTCCCTCCTCTCTCCATTAGCATGGATAATTGAGAGTTGGCTTTTATCTGCCTGTGTTTCTTCTATTTTTCTTTCCTTTCTGATTTCTTTAATACATGAATTTCACTTCTTTTGTAAGAGTTGACTTCAGTGTATAATTTTAAGCTTCTAAAGCTGTAATCTTGAGGGAGGCAGACTGCCACATCATGGTCCTGTGGAGCAGCTGGTGGGTTCAAACCACCGGCTTTTCATTGGCAGCCAGGGCTTTACTGCTGTGCTACCAGGGCTCCCTAGATTATCTCATAAGAAGATTTTACACTCTGAGCCCAAGAAAACAACTCGAGCAGAGAGGAATGCATCTGAACTGACTGCATCTCCTTCTCCTCTCTCTTCCCTCCCCCACACAAAGCTGCAGCTTAGGCCAGAAGGAATGTGGTCAGAAGACAGAGCACAAAGGGTTGGGGAAACAAAAGGCATAGAGTGTCTGAGATCAAAGAAACTTGTTTATGGTTTGAGGCATAACATGTGCTTACTGTTTGGCACCATACCATTTATTAAATTGGATACTCTAATGCAGATTTGAGTTATGTCAGAATATTGCATTAGAAAGCTGTAGATATCTAGAGGCTTCACATTTTTAAACTGGGCCGCTCTTGTTAGAGCTGCCTCTGGTTCCACGAACATTCTATATGGAATCTGTGCTCTCCTTATCCTTTTCCCCGACAGACATTTACAGTCATTTCTTGTTGGTGCCCACAGATGGGAGGGAGGCCCCAGGTACTTTTATTCCAATTATCTTAAATTTCTCAGGAGGGGCGGGAGCAAGGATCTTCACCCTCCGTTGCTTACTTAGTCTGGAGTACTGAGAGACATTTTTACACGGAGCATAAGGCATGCTAGCGAATCCATGTAGTAAGAGGTTTATAGAAATATTTAAAATTCACTTTAGATTATATTGTAACTAATACATATTTATATCCTCATTACTGAGCAAGTAGCATTTTAAAACTCTAATTCTAACATAATATTTAATTTTTCACTCCCTTCAAGTTTGAGCATGTTTGCATGAGTGGAAATTGGGAAGATTTTTAGCTCTTTCTAAAAGTTGCAGTTGTGCCTTTTGCACTGCAAGTTCTGTCTTTTCAATAGCTTATGTTCATGTGCTTCAAATTATTAATCTCCCATAATTTCTACCACTATATAAAAATGCATCAGATAATAGCAGGAGAAAAATATCTAACTTTTAAAGGTAAGTGTAGATATTATCTATGGTGCAAGTTTATTAGTGATAGTCTAATAAAATGAGTAAAACAGGATGAAGATAGGACAACAGTGCTGAATAAAATAGCTTTTAGGTTTTTTTCTTTTGAAAGTTAGTAATAGTTCTTTGTCATCATTTGTGCCATTATCCTTTTCAGAACTAGAAGAAATGTGAAGATTATGTAATGACACTTTTTCTCAGTGTTCTTGAGATCTTAGGATTTTTCCCCCCCTTATCTTTAAGTAGCACTGAGCTAAACCATGAAGAAATTTATACTTCACACCAAAATCCAGGTAGATTAACCTATCTCCTAGAAATTCTTTCTGAACTGAAGTTAAACTAAATTCTTCTCAAATTATGAAGTAATTTCTTTCAGTCAATGGAAGTTGGTAGTAAATGCACAGCAGTACCCAATTCGTCTTAGTCAAAGGCAAAGTTACATATACAACTGATTTGAAACTTTTTGTATTTTCTACTTAGGATGTAGCAAATAATTTCAGTACTGTGATGTATACTTGTTGAAGGAGACATTTAGTAACTCTGACCTTAGGCAAGTTATATAACCCATGATTCAGTTTCTTCAGATATCAGAGACTAATCATAGTACCAACTTCATAAGATTGGTTGAGGGATTTATATGCATTAGGGCTACAAATTAAATGTGCAGAACAGTGCCTGGTATATAACCAAACACCCAAACCAATCATACCTTTCGAGTCAATTCTGACTCGTCAGCTACCCTATAGGCCAGGGTAGAACTGGCTCTGTGGGCTTCAGAAACTCACTCTTTATGGGAGGAGCCTGGTATATAGTAAGCTTAGTCAGGGTTAACTGTCATCTTTACCATTATCATTATCATGATTGATTCTACTATGCACTAACAAGGGTTTCTGTGAATTCTAGCTAAGGCTGAAGTCTTAAATTCCAGGTTGGGTTGTATTTCTGGTTTTGAAAAAGATGTAAAGGCGATTCCTGATGCAATGAAGGGATTGATTGCTTGATTAACTAATTCATTCTGAGTAAAGCTTAAACCTTGACACTAAGTACTAGTCAGGGTCATTCAAGGAGCCAAGTAAAGATACAAAACGCAACTGCCTTTTAGTATTTCAGCTTCTGGTTGGACTCCTGATAAGTTTGCTCAAGAAGGCAGTTCAGGGTAGGAAAACTGAGAGTAGGGTCTACTAGGACGTAGAATTTGATTGCCTCAATCCTTTGTAGAGTGAAGAATGGTATAAATACACAAAAATGAGTAGCAGGTTTCTTCCAGTGTCATCAATCCTAATTCATTTTTAACAAGAGAGATAATAAAATAATACATCATTAGTGACACACACTGTGACATACATATACAGTCATCTTTCATCACTATCTAATCCCCCCTCGTTTACTGCCTCAGTTTCCCTTGTTTGAAAGCCTTAGAACTTCTGACCATGCAGGCAGTTGGATTAAAAAGTTTTTACCCTGCAAAAGTTCCTGTGAATTCCATTTTTAATTATTAAGGAAAATCCTATTTTTAATATTAGTACATTTTGCTTTCATTACAAAATTAAGTTCTAGAAGTTAGAACACCTATTGGTTTTTATTAGTGATGCCAGATTTAAACTAATGTGACCAAAGTCAATATGACAATGGAAATCATGGGGAAATTTTCATTGTTTTAATTCTGTTCTTTATAGGAATTCAGATAATAGAATAAATAAAATGTATAAGAAACTAAATGTCTGTGAAATGCCTTGAATTCTAATTATTCATAATTTTGATCTCGCTTACATAAGCCTTTCTTATCCAGTAAGAGTACTTTATATAACTTAAAAATTTATATTTGTTTGATCATTTTTAGTGATTGAGAACACTTGTAGCAGCGTTTTCTTTTTTGTTTAGTATGTCTGGACCTAATAGCTCTTCAGAATGGTCCATTGAAGGTCGTCGATTGGTACCACTTATGCCTCGGCTGGTTCCCCAAACCGCCTTCACTGTAACAGCTAATGCTGTTGCCAATGCAGCTATCCAGCACAATGCGTCTCTTCCAGTGCCTGCAGAAACAGGAAGCAAAGAAGGTGAGTAGAAAACCATTTCTGTGTGTAGAGATTTTTTTCTCAGTTCCAGAAGAGTTGTCTGATTTTTCATCACTTTTTTTTTTAATCCCAGTATGTAAAGGTTGCAAAACATAGGGAGCACCTCTGGTTCAGAACTAGAAACTGCCAAGTTTTTAGTCTCAGCCAAAATTGGATTTCTCTTTTGTTGAAAGTGTGAAAAATGTTCATCACAAAATTGCAAAAGCCTCCTTGGAATGAATGTTTGACATTAGTGTGATTGTGAGAAGTGGCTAGAGACCCTGAAACAGTACCAGACAAAATCAACAAGATGACAGAAGTCTTGGAGCTGCTGGAGAAAGACTCGGCTCGGCTCTCTTTTGTCTTCTGGAAGTCAACAGTCTGTGCGGCTTCTCTGTTTGGTTGGTGTGCTGAATCCACTGGATCTGGCCCCACAGATGGAAAGGCTTTCGTATTGTTAGTTAATCTGGTCTCTGACATGTACGTTAAAGACCCTTGAATTCTTTTGAGTCCACCAAGAGCAATATTAAATTTGAGAGAGCATATTTGGATCAACTCCAGTAGCTTAGTTTGGTGTTGCATGAAAATGACCCCGAAAACAAGGCAGCTGGGGTGTTACTTTGGGGAATTGACTTTTTTTGTTTTTGCTTAGCTAGGGGCTGTGGAGTCCAGGGAGACGCTTTTTTTATGCATGCCAGGCGTTGTTTAAGACTGAAGGGAACTATGTGTTTCAGAGAGAGTGTGCAGTCTCCCTCATTGAAGTATTGTTTCATTTCTTGTCAGAAGTATCTTTTTGCCCTTCCCACTTTTACTTTTCCATTCACCAGCTCTCTGGTAGAGTGGAAAGAATCTAGGATTTCCAATAGTCAGATCTGTGTGTGAAGCCTACTTTGCCATTTCCTAGCTACGTGACCTCCAAGTCATTTAGCGTCTGTGAATCTCAGGTTCCTCATCTTTAAAATGAAGATAATGCTGTTGTGAGATGGAGTGTTAATGTACAAATAGGATTTAGCATAGCTCATGGTACTCAAGATCAATAAATTGTAGCTATGATTTGTTCTTGTTGTTGTTAAGCTGTGTCCCTTTGTTGAATGAAGAGGATTGACATGTCATTGTTCTAGTTGGATTATTATTTTACTCCTTAAACTGCAAGTGGCTAGTGAGCTGGTTAACAATAAAAGAGCCCTGTCTCGGTTTCCTCCTAAGAGCCTTGGTGGTAATTGCTATGGTTAGGGGAGAATTTTTCACCACCTCATCACTGGTATACTATTAATATGGAAAAGCAATACAAGTCCCTGCCTGTTGTTCAACTCCTGCCATGAATGAAAAATGATTTAAATTTTCTTCAATATAATTTTTAATTTGATTTACTCGTAACTCCTTTGCTCTCCATTAGCTGAGCCACCTATAGACAGCTATTAAATACTTGGAGAAAATCCACCTAAGTGATGATTTTGAGCATTTCTCTCACTTGTGGACCTAATACGTAGCACTGGCCCCTAACTTCTGATCACATGAATATGTTGAAATGGGCCTGGAATAAAACAGTAAGACTGCTGTATGTGCCTGGGTAGTTTCGGTGAAAGTTAACAGCAAACTTTTTTTATTGTTCCTTTAGTAGTGGTTTGCTATTCCTACACAAGTACCACGTCAACCCCAACCTCTACCCCTGTTCCAAGTGGCAGCATAGCAACGGTTAAGTCTCCGAGACCTGCCAGTCCTGCCTCCAATGTAGTTGTCTTGCCAAGTGGAAGTACTGTTTATGTCAAAAGTAAGTGATACCCTTAGTGTTATCAGGGCCATCTTGGCTAACTGCTGAAGCATGGGCTCGGATTAGATCCACTTTCCTGGATTAAATCATTGGTCCACTGTCTGGCTATTAGCAGGGCTTTTTTTTTTTTTAATGGTTCAAGAGAATTCTTTTCTTTACATGCGACTTCGTATATTTTGTTTTTTAATCAGTTCTGGGGGTTGAGAAATGACTTAGTTTTTGCTCTCTGTGGGGAATTTGCTTTTGAGCCATACTAGACTTCTAGTATTCACTTGTTTTGATGGCCATGGAATAGAAGGGAGCGTAGATTCTGAAGGACTGTGCTTATTCAGTGTTTACTCCCACACGTGTAGGACTTTCTGTAACATATCACCCGATTGTTAAGTCAGCGAAGCATTCTGCAGAGTCCATCTTCTTCGATACATCTAACTGGTTGTAATTTTTTGAAGTTTTTTTGTTTTTGTTTTTACCATTTTTAATTCGTTGCCTCTGCCCTATGAAGTAGTTTGATTTCAAATTCACTTCTTACATTTTCATTTCTTTTATTCTTTTGATATCAATTGGTGGTCATTATTTCATCTTCATTTTCTTCAGTATAGTTATAAGCTTGATTTTACCTTCTGAAGTAGAGTTTGCTCTTTTAGACAAGAATGATTCTAGATCATTGTTAGCCTTATTTAAATTAATTAGAGTCTACCACGTGAAAATATAAGGAGTTGTTTTATTACATTTGACATCTGTGGATTTAACCAAGGTGGTTTTTTAAAACACTGTAGAGTTCTATTTTTGATAATTTTTAAAACATTGGCAATGAACTCCAAATATGAAGAAACTGTATCACATAAATAGATAATTATGTACTAAGTACATAGGAATTATATTATTCAGTCACCTAATTTCACATGTACAAGACACTATGCCAGGAAAACAAACCAATAAGACAGTTGTTATGTTCTGGGAGTCCCTTACTAATGAGAAGTGTGCTGATAAGAAATCATGTTGCCATCTGGTAAGTGATACAGAAGCGAGTGTAGAGTATAAAGTCGGAGATCTGGACTAGTTCTTCACTTAATCTTATAGGAAGATTAAGAGATTAGTCAGTATATTAGTTGGACGATTAAGAAATTAGTTGGTATTTCTCAGAAATCACTAGTATATAGTTAGAATGTGGTTAGGTGGCTTTGGGCAATGGTGAGCAGCTTAGCATGCTGAGATTGTAGGGGTTCACAGAATTAGGTGGAACCTGGCACAGTAGTCTTACAAAGATATTAGTCTGATATGGTGATAATTTTGCATATCATCTTGTAGGAAGTTAAAAGCTACTAAGAGATTTGAAGCAGGGGCATTGGCATGATTCAATTAGATTTTTTAACTGGTAGTGTGGCGGAGGATCGAATGGACGTCTTTCAGGAGGTTTACTAACACACAGACACGACATGATCTACTTGCCATATAGGTCAAGAGAAGACTAAAGGCAGAGACAGCTTCTCTGAGGGATGACTGATGGGGTTTAATAGCTGACTGGGATACAGCAGAGGAAGAAGTCAAGGATGACTTAATGCACGCCATTTGTTTGTTTGTTTTAAGTAGAAACGCAAGATTTGTTTGGAATCAATATAACAATGTTTATCACCTTTCAGGCGTTAGCTGTTCAGATGAAGATGAAAAGCCTAGAAAACGAAGACGAACAAACTCGTCTAGTTCCCCGCCTGTCGTCCTAAAGGAAGTGCCAAGGACTGTGGTTCCTGTTTCAAAGACGATCACTGTGCCTGTGAGTGGCAGCCCCAAGATGAGCAACATCATGCAGAGCATTGCCAACTCCTTGCCACCTCACATGTCTCCTGTGAAGATAACCTTCACCAAACCTTCCACCCAGACAACAAACACCACAACGCAGAAGGTATGTGGTGGAGCGAGCTTCTGCCCGGCAATCGCTCTTTCCGTCTTTCTCAGACAGCTTGATTCTGATGTGACAAGCATGCCCTGAGTGTGCTTCCTCTGTGCCTGACATTATGCCCCAAATGGTTATCTGTCTGTCTTTGTTTCGTTCCGCACATAAAGCTTTGGAATAGCTGTTATTTTAATTTTTTGTTCAGTTCATGAGGCTGATCACCTACTCTTGCGATTTTCAATTGATTTCATAACATTGATACTAGTTGTAAGAAAAATTAAAAAACAAGACCTTTTTTTTTCTGACTAATTTTTAATCTTAATCTTCTAAGATGATATTTCCTTCAGAAACATAGTTTTTACTCCGCAGAGTAACACAGTTGTCAGAGTTAGGCAATTAAATCTTTTAGATGGTAACATTGATTCATTTCTAAGCTCCCCTCCAAGCATTCTCAAATCACCAGTATCGGTTGATTTCCTTCACCAATCTGGAACCCATTCATTCTCTAGGCTGCTGTCTACCGGTGTCACTGGGATTTGTCTTCCTCTTCCTTAGCTTACTTACTTATTTTGTTGGAGCATGTCGTCCAGAACTGCCTGACCGAGAAGATGAAAAGTAAACCCTTTGAAAGCTGGCCTGGTAGACTACAGATGTCTTACCCTCCCCTCCCACTATTATGGCTTACTTAGATGAAATATTCTTCTTTAGGTGAAGTAATCCAGGAGGGACGTCATTTTCCCTGAGAATTTTGAAACTGTTTGCTCTATTGGCTGTAGCTTCCGTTTTGGTTTTGGAGAAGCCCAATGCTATTCTAATTTCTAACCCTGTTTTTCCCTTTGGAAAAATCCTGGGAATTTTTCTTTGATCTTAGAGTTTGGAAATTTCAAGGTCACAGTACTTGGTGTGTCTTCCCTATCGATCCATTGGGTAGTACTCTAAGTCGGACCTTTCAATCTTGACACTCATGTTCTTTAATTTCGGGAATTTTCTTTCTTTTTAGTTATCTTATCATTCAGGTTGTTAAACTACCTGAATTGAGCCACTAATTTTCTTATATTCTGTTTGCTTTTTCTTCTGTAGTTTCCACCTGTATTTGCTGTATGACTGGGCAGACTATAAACTCTACATCTAAGTTTTTTTATGTGTAAAATAGAGAAAGCAATTGTCTTGAGGTTTTATAGGGCTTTGGGATATGAATAATGGGATATTGTGTTAGAAGTGAGCTTACTAGTACATAGTAAATGTTTACATCAGTATTATTTTCTCAGTGTTATGCTTCACTATTTCTATGGAATTTTTCATTTTTGCTATTGTACTTTAAATTTCTAGTAACTCTTTTGTTCTCTAAAAGTTCCTTTTTAAAACAGCATTCTGCTATTTCATAGAAATATTCTATAATTTAATTTTTCTATTCTCTTTTCTCTGATCATATTTCTGATAATCTTTTTGATGTTTTCTTCTTCCATGTTCCCTCTTACCTGTAAGTTTCTTTAATGTATTTGTTTAGATCTCTCTTTTATTTGAGAGTTTCTTAAATATCTTATTGCTTATATTTATGAGTGGGTTCAAAAAAATCAAGTAGAAAGCCTTTGTGTGCTCTATGGATGGGACATCCTGACTGGGTAAATTTCATTGTAGATTGATCTAGCTTCTGTGTTGTGTTGAGGAACATTTACTGTCTTTTACCCTCACCCATTGTTAGTGTCTTTAGGGCTTTCTCTTGGGCTGGTCAATTAATCAGAGAAGAAGCTTCCAGTCAACTGCCTGGAGTTGTGCAAGTCTGGCTGTCAGTGTTTCATTGTGGGGTGGGGTGTGGGGTGGTAAATGGAGGAAGGGGCCTGGGCCTCACCATGCAGTAGTAGACTTTACTTAACCTCTCTCGTTTTCAGTATAGCACCTCTTCTTCCCTTTGACTGTGTTTGTTATCAGATTTAGTCTCAGCACAGTACAGCCTTCCTTCTTCCTAGAAGAAGAAACTGGGAATCTAAATCTTTCTCAAACAGATTTTCAACTAATTTTCCTAGCAGAGTCAACTCGATGGCACACAGCAATAACAATAGTCTCACTTGGATTCACAGGGGGCAGTTTTGCTCTTCCCTATAGAGATGCTATATGCTGGCCATGGCAGTGAGCTTGGAGCTTGAGCTACTTTTACCAAGCATGTTGTCATTCTCCAGGGAGTCATCCTTTGTGATAGCAAGTCCAAGCTAGGTGAGTTAAAACCTGGCTGTCTTCTCTTCAAAGGAGCATTCTGGCGATGCTTCTTCTAAAGCAGATTTGTTTGTTCTTCTGGTGGTCCATGGCACAGTTAGCTTGGTGTATTCTGGGAAGCTTTATGTTTACATATGATTTTTTTTTCCTCTTGGGAAGAAGCCTGGGTTTTATCAGCAATGTTTCTGTCCTTCTCCTTATTCAATTAGGCATTGAATAAGGAAGACTAAAGAAGAATGGATGTGCTTGAGTTGTAGTGCTGGAGAAGAATATTGAAAGTGTCATGCACTGCCTAAAGAACAAGCACATCTGTCCATGGCCCTAACCACCCTGAGTGCTCCCGATCTCATTAGGTCTCAGGAGCTAAGCAAAGTTGGACCTGGTTAGTTACTTGCATGGGAGAACAAACAAATCTTAGAAGAAGCACGGCCAGAATGCTCCTTAAAAGCAAGGATGGTGAAACGTTGTCTCACTTACTTTGGACAAGTTATCAGGAGAGACCAGTCCCTGGAGATGGACATCATGCTTGGTAAAGTAGAGGGGGAGCAAAAAGAGGAAGACCCTTGACAAGATGGACTGACGTAGTGGCTGCAACAATGGGCTCAAACATAAGAATTGTGAGGATGGTGCAGGATCGGGCAGTGTTCCGTTCTTTTATACACAGGGTTGCTATGAATTGGGGCCAACTTTATAGCACCCCATATCAACCTCCATGTACTCATTTCATTAAATATTGGAGAAATAGTGTACCAAAGCTGTAGGTAAAAGATCTTGCATCTCCCTTACATTCCTGCTTCCATTCCCTTCCTCTATTTTTATTGATTTATACTTATAATTAACATAATATTAAATATTTCCTATTTCTCCCATATTTCTGTTTCTATCAAGAAGATGCTGAGGACTTTGGCTTATTCACTGCTGCTTGTTTGTCTAGAAGAGTGCCTGGCACATAGTAGGTGCTGGAATGTATTTATTGAGTGAATGGTTTAAAGAATGAGTGAAGAAATAATAAATAAATCTGGTTCCAGACCTAGCTTTACCACCTCTTTTGAGCTTTAGTTTTCCTATAAAACAAAGAAAGGAATAGTACTTAATTCCTAGGGTTATTGGGAAATTTAAAGGAGATGATTGAAAATATTTAGAGCAAATAATGAATGCTCAGTAAGTGCTATCTAACATAATTAACTTCCCAGTGTTCTATGGTGGGCTTTTATTTAAGAAGTCTTATAATAAATTGGGGTTTATCTGTTAGTGAAATATGGGAACTTTCTTTCTTGATTCATAATTCTCAACTGAGCATGGCTCAATTGGTAGTACAGTGGCATATTTTATGACCTCTACCATCAAATTTCAGGTTCAGAACCTGAGATTTGTCCTGCTGTGTTTTAAAAAACTATTTAAAACATATGGAAAAATCGGGCTCATTCATTCCACAAACATTTTTGAGCATCTACCGTATATACTTGTGTATAAGATGCATTTTTCAGCACATTTTTTTGTGGTAAAATTAGGTGCCTCGGCTGATATTCAGGTCGGCTTATACTCGACTTTATACATATTAAGTTCCAGATGCAAAAATCCCTATCCCTCCATATGTCCTCAATGCCATCAGTTTTGTTAAGACTGACAAGCTGAGTGAGAGTAGGATATTCCTGGTCTTTTGGTTTCGTTCATGTTCCTTTGCTGGGTAGTTGGATTTTTGGAAAACTATCCAAGGCTGCTGGAGTTACCACGTTCACCTTGGATTTCTGACAAATCCCATGTAAGTCAAGTTCGGGATTACTTAAGGTCAAATGGCAGTTATATTAAGTAGAATTATGAATTTGTGGATCTTTCTCACTTTCAAATCGACAAATGTCCACTTCTGCTAATATGGTGCTTTGATTTTAAATGTAACCTCTGTACAGCACTTATGTAATTTTTTTTTCTGTAACAAAGCAACAGAATATAGCTTTGTGCTTTCACGTGCTTGATTGATATTTTTTATTTTGTCCTTAGGGTGCAAGTCCCAGCACTCTTAAGGAGTTTTTGTGAGTGCTAAAAGGTCAGTAATTTGAATTATGGCCTGAATAAACATTGTCTGGTTTATTTGGTTTCAGAGTCCCTTAATTTCCCTTGTTGCAGTAAGTAACTTTGAATTGTAAGTAGGTTTTCTCTGAGGTAGATCTCTAATTTGGGTAATCACTTTTCAGTGTTGAAATCATGTTGTAGACTAAAATCTCAAAATAGGTTTTATCATTTGTATCTATAAACCTAAAACATGCTCTAAAAGACTCTAGATGTGTTTTGCTGAAATGTTGTTGTCTTAATGTTATAAGACTACATATATGCTCCAGCTGTGAAATTCTAACTATTTGACACAGTGTGAATGCTTCCCTGTCACAAGAGACATTGCTAATTAACTATGACATGCATTCCTGCCAAACCCGGGGAATTCTCATCTAGGCTGTTAGGTGTTTTATAACCACTGTGCTCCAGGAAGCTACTTCCGTTAGTTCAGAACTGACCAAAATGAAACCTGATTGCCATTAGTACAACTGTTTTGGCTGTGGTAGTAGCTGTGCATTCTTTGGATTCTCAGGGACATAAAAATTGGGGGGGAAATATACGTAAGGTACTTTTAATGAAACAAAAATAGAGGACATTGAAATGCATTTCCAGATTTACTTTACCTATAACCCCTGAAACTGATACCTCTTTAACATTTATTAACTAATGATAAGCTACTAATAAGTATCATTTGTTGACTGCTAAATATTGACCACCTACTATGTGCCTAGCACTATGTTAAATGCTTC